GCGACAGAGCGGCGGGTGCTCTCCGCCTCGCTCCGCCGCGCCCGACGCCGCGCCTCCACCGCGGCCGGCCGCGCGGCCGCGCGGCCCCTCGACGGGTGCGGACCCGCAGCTTGCCGCGAGGACGCCTCCGCCGCGGCTTCCGCCGCGTGGGCCCTCGGCGGCGGCGCCAGGCCTATGGGCCGCTCCGCAGCGCTGCGCCCTTGGGCGGAGCGCAGAGGTGGGCAGGGGGAGGGGGAAGGCTTCGTAGAAGGGGGCTGCTCCTTAGAAGGCGACGGCCTTCACACGTGTATGTAGAGAAGGCCGGCGCCTTCGAAGAAGCAGCGGGTGCTTCTAAGAAGCCTTCCCCCCTCCCCCTTCCCCCTTCTGCGCGTGGCGGCCGACTCCTGGGCGGAGGCCCCCTGCGCAACTTAGATCTTGGCGTCGTACACCCCTCCTCGAACTCAAGCGCAAGTTCTCCACGCGACGCGGCGGTGCCCCAGGACCCCAGAAAGCGAATGCTCGCGCCGAAACTGGCGACTTCAGACTTCAGACACATAGATCCGACCACGCGGGCCGCGCTTCGCGCGTCGATCAACACTGAAAACTTGCGTTTGATTTCGAGGAGAGTTGTGGACCAAGCGTGCTCCGCTCGGACCCAGGCTTGGGTCCAAAAACTAAACATACCCAACAAAAAATACTCCAACAATGCTCAAACATGGTCAAAAGTAGCCCCCAGACTATGTTTTGACTATTTCTGCATATGCCTCCTGTAGAGGGACAAGCTTGGGCGCCCGAGTTATCCGGGGTAACTCGGGTCCGGGGTAACTCGGGTTTGGGTTCCCGAAAAACGAACCCGAGTTATCCCTGACCCGAGTTACCCCTGATGATTCGGGGCTCTGGACGCCCGAGTTATCCGGGGTAACTCGGGTCCGGGGTAACTCGGGTTTGGATTCCCGAAAAACGAACCCGAGTTATCCCTGACCCGAGTTACCCCTGATGATTCGGGGCTCTGAGAATATGCCTCCTGTAGAGGGACAAGCCCCGACCTACTTGTAGACCAAGCGTGCTCCGCTCGGACCTGGGCGACCTGGGCGGCGGCGGCGGGCCTCGGCCGCTGCGGGGAGAGCTGCTCCTCCTCCTCCTCCTCCTCCTCCTCCTCCTCCTCCTCCTCCTCCTCCTCCTCCTCCTCCTCCTCCTCCTCCCTCCTCCTCCTCCTCCTCCTCCTCCTCCTCCTCCTCCCCTCCTCCTCCTCCTCCTCCTCCTCCTCCTCCTCCTCCTCCTCCTCCTCCTCCTCCTCCTCCTCCTCCTCCTCCCCCCCTCCTCCTCCTCCTCCTCTCCTCCTCCTCCTCCTCCTCCTCCTCCCCTCCTCCTCCTCCTCCTCCCTCCCCTCCTCCTCCTCCTCCTCCTCCTCCTCCTCCTCCTCCTCCTCCTCCTCCTCCTCCTCCTCCTCCTCCTCCCTCCTCCTCCTCCTCCTCCTCCTCCTCCTCCTCCTCCTCCTCCTCCTCCTCCTCCTCCTCCTCCTCCTCCCTCCTCCTCCTCCTCCTCCTCCTCCTCCTCCTCCTCCTCCTCCTCCTCCTCTGGGCGGGGGCCCCCGGCACGGCTCGGACCTCCGCGTGCGCGCACGTCGCCGCACGTCGTGGCCGGCGAGCCCTCGAGCAGACGCACGGAGCCGAGGCTCCGCGCTGCTGGCAACAAGGGCTCCCAACTTCGCGCTTCGCGCTGCGCGGAGCGCGAAGTGCGAATCACTTCGCGCTCTCGCGCCGCCTCCCAGGGGAGAAGAGGAGGATGAGGAAAAATCGGAGCCGAACCGCGAAGCGCGAATAACTTCGCGCCCTCGAGGGCGCCCTTGTGGCAAGGCAGGGCGTCGGGGCGATCCCTGCCATCGGGGGGTCCAACACAGCAGCCTGCGGCAGCAGTGGAGTGGCCCCTGAGATTCCCGGGCTCGCCCTGGAGGAAGGCATGATCGAGGTCTTCAGGAAGCGGCGGAGGCAGGGTCCCGACCCGCTCGGCCATAGAGCAGTCCGCAGACGGCGCCATCCCCTCCTCCAAGCATGCCCGAAGGAGATCAGGCGGCAGTTCGCAGAGTAGATTCACGTGTGTGCCTACAAGCTCCTCCGACCGCACTGGGGTCTCCTTGTGAGACATGCGCGGCACTCTGGATTGGCCCGGCCCCGCTGCGCCACACTTCCCAGTGCGCGGGGTCGAAGGTTAGCTCGGCACCTGGACACGCCCATAATAATGGCCCGACCACAAGAAACCTTCCACAAGAAACCTATTGGAGCGCATTTCTTCATGTTCGGCGTTGACGGGCGTCATGGGGGGGGGGCGACGGGGGTATGACGTAACGGCCCCCCCGCCGTGTGGCTCCGGCACCGCAGCCGCGCCCGCGCGCGCGACACGACGAGCGACGAGCGACGACGACGACGACGACTACGACGACGACGCGAGCAGCATGTCAGTGACGATGTGCCCCACTGCGCCTGTATACACCACAACGCTCGCGTTCACCACAGCGCGCGTATACCACAGCGCCTGCGTACACCGCAACAACCGTGTGCAACGCAGCGCCTGTGTACACCACAGCGCTTGCGTACACTATAGCGCCGGTGTACATGTGTACACCGCAGCTACCATGTGCAACACAGCGCCTGTGTACACCACAGTGCTTGCGTGCACCGCAGCGCCTGCGCACGCCACAGCGCGTGTCTACACTACAGCATCCACTTGCAACGCAGCGCTAGTGTACACAACTATGCCTGCGTGCCTTGGACAAGTAGAAGGAGCATGTACGTGAGGATCTACTGCGGACAACTAGACGCCACGCCAGGAAAACGCCGATAATCGAATGCGACGCTATTCCCTCCTCCCTCCTCCTCCACCTCCTCCACCTCCTCCTCCTCTTTACACCCTGTCGTGCGGGCTGGCGCTACAGCGCACGTGCGCATCCCAGCGCGCACAGCAGAATGGTCGATTGAATCGGTCCACTTGATTCTCGGACGGCCGCTTTAGCTGGAGCCTCCTGGACGCAGATGGGAGGAGCTAGGGTGATGCGGGCGGACTCGGGAGGACCCGTAGATTCCAGCGGCGCTCCGTTGTCCATGAAGATGATTATCTATGGTTTTCTCTGGAATCCAGAAGCGCTCTATTCTGTCATACGGATTCGTTATACCATTATATATATATATACATAATATACAACAGTGGCGCTGTGTTGCACACGGTTGCTGTGGTGCACACAGGTGCCGTGGTGCACACGGGCACTGCAATGCACGCAGGCATTGTGGTGTACATTTGGTGCTGTGTTGCACAGGGCTGATGTGATGTACGCAAACGCTGTGGTGTGCACAAGAGCAATTGTGCCCGCAGGCGCGGTGGCACAAACTGACGCTGTGTTGCACGCGGCTGCTGTGGTGCACATAGGCGGTGTGGTGTACACAGGCGCTGTGGTGCACGCAGGCACTGTGGTGTACACATGCGTTGTGTTGCAAATCGCCATCTACATGCTGGCGCTACCCGTCTTCCGTCATTTCTAGGCATTCAAAGACACCGCCGGCGCGAAACGTGACGACACCAACCCCTTCCACCACCCCCCCAGATGATTGCCGTCACCGACCCTAGAAAAAAAACATGCTTCAGCCGCGTCCGCGCGCACGACGCCTATGAGCGACGAGCGACGAGCGACAAGCCACGAGCGACGACGACGACGACGACGACGACGACGACGACGACGACGACGACGACGACGACTGCGGAACAGACTCCTATGCGGATTCCTACGCGGATCCCAAAACGCACGGCGGCAGTGCCCGGAGCGCACTGGGGGGGGAGCGTTACGTCATGGGGGGGGGGGAGCGGGGGCCATGACGCCCGTCATGCCCCAAGCAATAAAGAAACGGGCTCTTAGCACCCTGGAGGCAAGCAGGGTGCTTCTTGGCATAGGCCCCCCCACTGTAGCAGCCGATGAGGAGGATGACGGCCCGGCAGGGACGACGATGGCGGGCCGACGACGACGGCCACGGGGCGTCGTAGGAAGGCAGGGAGCGAGAGGAGAAGAGGGAGGAGAAAGACCGCCCGGCTGGTCGTCATCTTAGGTCGGGTATGCCACCCTACAGGCGGATGTTGGAGGACTTTGAAGGAAAAATGAAACATAGCCAAAACATATTCAAACATAATCGAAAGTGATAATACAACATCGTCCTCTGATTATTCTTTGACTATATTTGAATATTCCTCCTGCAATTAGAGGGGCGTGCCCGACATAATCGTGATCACGGCTGGCGGAGCGTAGACCTGGCTGCGCGACCAGCCTGGCAGCGACAGAGCGCCCCCCCCCCAAGCCTGCGACGATAACGGGACCCAGGGGTACACGCAACTCAGTATACACACAGATCCCAGGATTCCTTTTATTTTTCTATGTTTTTTCTGGACTGTTGTCTTCCGCTGGACTTCCCACATGTTCCCATATCTCCTGGGGGTCGACGCTCAGTTGTGCCTGTGTCTTCTCCATCCTGAAACGAGGAGGGCGAGGACGAGGGCGAAGGCGACGCCGAGAAGCGACAACGACTCGGGGATCTACGGACCCTGGTCAATCCAAACCCAGGTCAGTCAGGCTCCGCAGGATCCTGTCGTCTCCTGCAAGATCCTGCAAGATCCTGCAACCAAACCCAGGCCAGTGCGCCCCTGGCTGCACTGGATCCTGCAAGATCCAGCGCTCTCGCTGACCCCCGGTTGCATTGACCCCCGTCTCTCAAGGCTTGGGTCGGGCGTGCCCCCCCACTGGCGGCTTCTGGGCGAACAATTACAGCTCGTGAACCAATCATGACTCAAAGATGACCGAAACCGGCAACACAGGTCGTCCCCCGACTATATCTGGCATTGGAAAAATCCCCCTCCGTCGAAGGACACGCCCGCCTCACCTCGAGGCTCCCGAGACGACGCCGGCGCCCTCCGCGCTGGCGCTCGGGCCGCAGGCGGGCCGCCCGGGCACGGGCCGGCCGGAGGCCGAGCGGGGCGGCGGGCGCCGTGCTCCGCGCGCGCTCCCGGAGCTCGCCGGGCGGCAGCGCGGGGTCGCTGGCCCGCTCCTGGGAGGGAGGAGGGAGGCTGGCCGGCGGCGGGCCCCGGGGGGGAGGCGAGGAGGGGCCAGTGGGGGGGGAGGAGGAGGAGGAGGAGGAGGAGGAGGAGGAGGAGGAGGAGGAGGAGGAGGAGGAGGAGGAGGAGGAGGAGGAGGCGGAGGAGGAGGAGGAGGAGGAGGAGAGGAGGAGGGAGGAGGAGGAGGAGGAGGAGGAGGAGGAGGAGGAGGAGGAGGAGGAGGGGAGGAGGAGGAGGAGGAGGAGGAGGAGGAGGAGGAGGAGGAGGGGAGGAGGAGGAGGAGGAGGAGGAGGAGGAGGAGGAGGGAGGAGGAGGAGGAGGAGGAGGAGGAGGAGGGGGGAGGAGGGAGGGAGGAGGGAGGAGGGAGGAGGAGGAGGAGGAGGAGGGAGGAGGAGGAGGGAGGAGGGAGGAGGGAGGGAGGAGGAGGAGGAGGAGGAGGGAGGAGGAGGAGGAGGAGGAGGAAGGAGGGAGAAGGGAGAAGGGAGAGGGAGGGAGGAGGAAGGAGTAGGACGAGGAGGAGGAGGAGGAGGAGGAGGAGGAGGAGGAGAGGAGGAGGAGGGAGGAGGAGGAGGGAGGAGGAGGAGGGTCGACGTTGCGAGAAAAACACGGCGTCGGGGGGCCCTGGGGGGGGGGAAGCGCGCCATCGCTGTCCTCCTCCTGCTCTGCAGTGCCTCCGCCTCCCTGCACGGCGACGCGGCCGGGGAGCGCGGAGGCGGCCAGGAACGGCCAGCAGAGGCTCGCTCCCCCACCCCGTCTGGTCAGCGTTTTCTTCTTCGGCGCTTCGACATAAAACAGGGCTAGGATCGGGAAAAATCGCTCCAGAGCGTTCCGGAGCGCTCTCAGAGCGTTCCGGAACGCTCTGGAGCGGCCGCGGCGCCCAATACATCCTCCAAACCCGCCGATTCTCAGAGATTTCGAGTGATCCCGATCCGATTTTGTCCCGATCTTCGTGTCGTTTTGCGACATTGGGCGGAGGGGGGGGAAGGGGGGTCTGGCTCCGGACCTCTGCTTGGTGCGACTGCTCGCAACCGTGCGTCCCATGGGGGAGACCCCATCTGCTCAAAACAGGCGCCAAAAACAGCCAAGATCTTTTTCTCCATGGGGGACGGGGGGGGGTGCGAGGGGCAAAACAACGAATAAGAACACGATCACCTGGGTCAGGGGCTGCGGCTCGCATGCCGGGGGGTGTTTTGGAGCTCTCTCTCCGGCCAGCTTGGGGTCGCCTCGAGGCCTTCGAGGCCCATTCATCGATTGCTGAGGTTTGAACTCCCTGAGGGGCGAGCCTGCTCAGAACGCTCTGGAGGCGTCGGGCCTTCTGAGGAATTCCACCAGCCCTTCAGGGCGAGAGTGGCTTGGAGCGTTTCCTCGTCCGACCCCCCTTCTTCCCTCGGGGGCGCGCAAGCATGGATTAGCGATCCATGGATTTGGCGCGCGGTCGCCAAATCCATGGATCGGGGGAGGTGCCCCCCCCCAAAGCGGGAATCCGCGATTACCCATGGAAGCTGGGCCCGTCGCGAATTCACGCCCCCTCGATCCATGTTTGCGATCGCCTGACTTCTTCCCCGTCGGAAAGGGGGGTATCCCCCTCCCACTTCCCCTGGGACTGGAGGAGAGGGGCCGCAAGGTTGAAGGGGCACTGGGACACAGAAATAAATACACACAAATAACAGGATTCCCCATGTTTTTCCATATTTGTTGGATCTTTGTCTTCCCCCCCATTTCCCCCCACTTCCCATATTTTCGGGGGAATCGACGATTCATTGTGTCTGTGTGTTTCTTCCCTCCTGAAAAGTGTCAGAGCGCCCAAGGAGGCCTCGGCGAGACAGCACACACACACACACACACACACACACACGCACACACACACACACACACACACACGCACCACGGATGTCGTAAGGTTTTGGGCGAATGTTTGCCCCACGTGGGGGGGGGGTTCATTTACGGTCGGCCTTGATTGGACAGGACACGCGAGAGGACACGAGACCCTTCCGAGGGCCACATCGCCATTGAAGTGGCACGTGTCGCGAGGCACAGGACACAAGGGTACCCTTGAGCTGGCAGGGTCGACCTACCAGTCCGGGCCGACTGCAGGAACCCCCCTTTCTTGGTCGACGTCCTCCAAGATGGCATAAGATTGAAGGGGCCTTGGGACACACAAATAAATAGAGACAAAAAACCGGATTCCACACATTTTCCCATATTTGCTTGATTATTGTCTTCCCCCCCCACGTCCCATATTTTCCCATATTTGCCGTGGAATCGACGATCAATTGTGTATGTGTGTTGTCTTCCCTCCTGAAAGATGGCCCCCCCAAGGCCCCCAAGAGTGCTCCACGAGGGAGGCGCCCAGGAGAATCCGAGAGGCCCCCAAGAGGTCCCACGGAAGCTCCCCAGGAAGCTCCCTAAAGACACCCCCAACGGGACCCAAGAGGCCCCCCGAGGCACTCAAGGCGCTCCCAGGGCCCCCCCCCAAGGCGCCCCAAGAGAACTTCAAGAAGCTCTCGAGAGTCAGCCAAAGAGATTCCGAGAGGCATCCAAGGCCTCTGGCCATTCTGCTCCCCCTCTTCCTCCTCCGCCTGTTCATCCTCCTCCGCCTCCTCCCATTTACCCTCCCCCTCCCCCTCCCCCTCCTCCTCATCCGATTCCTCCTCCATTCTCCCCTCTTGGGGTGTGACAGCTTCCCTAGCCAGTTCTTCCACTGCATGTCCCTCCACATCCCTGCTCAGGATAACCCGCCTGGGACTCGTCTCTGGATGTGCTGATGGGGTCACGCTGAGCGCCAACACTGTTCTGAGCCTCTACGCCTCCCCGACGACGCAGACAACTCCTCGGCCGGAGGGCCTCTGAGAAGCCCCGCCGCCTTCTGAGAAGGTCTGCCCCCCCTCTCACGTCCACCCTCCTGGGGCGGGCCGCCGACCTGACAGTCCTAAACTCAAAGTCTTGCCATCGCTTTGCTTCCGCCGGCCTCCGACGGCCTCTCGCCGGCGGGGCCGCCCTCGTCTTACCTCCGCCAGCCTCTGCCGACCTTGCACGCGGCCTTCCGCCGAGGCAGCGGGGGCAACTCCGTGGATCCTCGAGGGCGAGGCCCTGCCTGGAACGCCGCACACAAGCAGACGTTTGGCGAGCCGCTCCTGGGAGGTCTTCGCAAACAAAGATACACAACAACTATTGAGCCAAACTGAGAGGCCATTCGGCCGGACCAGCCCAAATTAAATCCTGGATGAAGCCGGATTCAGCAGCATGAAACTGGATTGAGATGGATTGCCAAGATTATCCTGGATTAGGCAGCGTTCCGACCACGGGTGTACCAGCGACGAACCTGCATCCAACCTCCCAGGAGTTGCACCCCAGAGACTTCGGGCGCTGCCAGAAGCGGTCCAATGCCCCAGGCTTATCGCTCCATTTTGTGGGTCCCGTGGGGGGACCTCTGGGCCTCGTGAGGAACGCTGTGAAGGTCGTGCAGAAACAACTACGCAAACATAAACTTGGGTTGTGGATGCCACGACTATGGACACCCTAACAGTCCTATCATCAAGTTAAAAGTGTGTTTTAAATGTGTAAAACATGCTCTAACAATACTTCAAACTTTTTTCACCTGTTTAAAACATGTTTGAAACATGTTTTAGACAGCGGGAAATTATTTGGCAGCATGCTTCCTCTCCATGAACTTTGGGAGGGCGGCACAGATTTGCTGCATCGGCGCTGGATCCCCCTCCCTGGCGCGCGGAGCTCCGAAAAGACCTGCTCATGCCCTGTCCTCCTCGAGAACGGGGCCTCCTTGGAAATTCAGGGGGCTCCGTCGGGCCGAAGACACTCCTGGCGACACCCGAAGGCTCCCAGAAGTCTCGCGGATTTCGCTTGGATCGGCGCTGGACCCCCTTGGGCGTCGCTCAATGGGGGGGCGATTAATTGGGAGGGGGGGGGGGGGAGAAAGGTATACTGTTCGGGCCATGAAGGCCCCCTTTTGGGCCCTGAGGGGCCCCTTTCCCACAGCCCTCGCTGCTCCCCCCCCATTTGTCGCCCAAACCTAGAGGACAGAAAAACCAACCCCATAATACATATGTATATATATATATATATAATGATTTCGTCCTCATCCTCATCCTCATCCTCATCATCATCCTCTTCATCAGCATCATCGTCGTCATCCCGACAAGCGCGAAGCCGTTCAAGAAACGCACCCAGAGAAGGAATCGATCAGGGCAGGGTTATTTTCGGGCTGGGCGAAAGGGGGGGGATGGCAAAGGGGGGGGGTTGAGAATCAACTCACGTAGCTGATTTTCCTGGCGCCTCCCGGCGCCGGGAGGCGCGTGTGCATCGAGGAATGGGCCCGGCGGCGGGGCCGAAACCAGCCGCATGCGGCAAACTTCGTAACCCCCCTTTCCTCATCCCCCCCCTTTCGTCCGGCCCGAGGGCTCTTTCGCGGAGCTGCTTAGCCAAGGGCACCCAACTTCGTTTTCTTCGCAAGGCGCGAGAGCGCGGAGCGCGAATGACTTCGCGCTCTCGTGCCGCCTCCCAAGGGAGAAGAGGAGGAGGAGGAATCGAAGTCGAACCGCGAAGCGCGAAGAACTTCGCGGCCTCGAGGGCGCCCTTGCTTGTGTGTCCCTGTCCCTGTTTGTGTGTGCCCTTGCTCGCGTGTCCCTGGAGGACGAGGATCCCCCAAAAGCCTCTCGAGGCCCCCGCGGGCCCCCCCGCAGGCCCCCAGGAGCCCCAGCAGGGGCCCGAACCCCTCAAAGACTGGGATCCTCGATCCTCGAACGACTCGAACCTCGGACCCCGAACCACGAACCTCCAACGACTCGAACCTCGAACCTAGGATCCTCGATCCTCGATCCCCGAACGACCCGAACCTCGGACCCCGCACCCCGAACCCCGAAAAAGCTTGGCACGAGCGCCCACTGCGGGGCCCGGGCGCCGCGCGCGGAGCGCCGGGCCGTGCCGGGCTCCGCGCGGAGGCCGCCTCGGCGCGCGGAGCGCCCCCTCGCCGTCGGGGGGGGGGGGCTCCCACCGCCGCGGGCCGACCCGAGAAATCCGCGCGGCCCTCGTGACGCCTGTGGTGTGCCGCTCCTTCTCCTTGTCTCTTGTCTTAGTATTCTTCTTATGATTGTGATCGTTGCGGTTATGAATAGTATTAGTACTCGTATTATTAATAGGATTTATACTCATCGTTACGATTATTGAAATTATTAGTCGTATTATTATGATTATTAATAAAAACGACTCTTCTTCTGGTCGTTCCGATTATTGTCATAAATCATATGAGTATTACTAATGTTATGATTCCCCTTCTTCCTTCTCCTTTCGGCAACCACGTGTGAACCCAGCCCTGCAGGTCAGATCCCCGAAACACGCCACGCTGGCCGGGGTCCAGAACTCTGGAGGATGTCTGCAGCCAAGTGGAGCATCCCAGCGGGGGTGCCTGACACCTGAAGGCCTCGGGGTCGGAATAGATGGGGTCGCAGGATCGCAGTGCATCACCGATGCATCAGCGATGCATCGGCAACGTCAGCACTGCATCGACGACGTCAGCGTGGAGAAACTCTCGCTCCACGTCGAGCTGCATCGTCGATGCACCGGCGATGCGGCGCGATCCTCCGACGCCATCTGCTCGGATCCCATCCCAGAGGCCCAGAATAGTCACACCAGCGTACAGTCGGGCCGCTGCAAGAAGGAACGCCAAATAAGGAACGAAGCCCCATTTTGGCCCTAAAAGCGCCGCCGTGCCCGAGGAGGGCAGGAGGAACAGCGATGGAGGAGCCTAAAGAACATCGAGCCCCTTCCGAGCTCAAATTGTTCCTTATTTCAACGTCTTGACTGTCGAGCGAACCCGCAGGGCTAGAATCCGCAAGTGGCCGCAGCTTCTCCGGGCTCCGCGGCCAGCGACAGGCAGCAGCGGTACGCGCTCTGCACGAACCTCGGGCGCGGGGGGGGGCAGGCAGAGCGCCGCCGGGGGGGCCCCATGCTCGAGGTGCCGAAACGCCCGAGATCGCCGACAAGGCACTCGGGCGCGCTCGGCTCCTTTCTGAAGCCCTGCGAAGGCCTCCGCGGACAACCTCCGCGGACAACCTCGGGGTCATGGCTCGAGGGCCCCCGGCCTCGGTCCAGGTTGACGGCGCGCTCTCTGGCCCGTCCTCGGGCCTCCCAGGGGCGCCCTCGCGGCCGCGGCTGGATCTCCCTCCACCTTCTGGTCATGACCAACCCCAGGGCAGGTCCAAGGGTCGTCGTCGCCGCCGCCGCCGCCGTCATCGTCCACCCGCCCTCCTCCTTCACCTTCGCTCCTCGTCCTCCTCGTCCTCCTCCTCGTCGTCCTCCTCCTCATCCTCTTCGTCCTCCTCCTCCTCCTCGCTCCTCCTCCCCAATGTCGAAAACACCAGGACATGTACGCCTAGAGTGCAACGAATCAAATTGCTGCTGCATTTCTTATTGTAGAAGCTGGTCCGCATACCCGTCGTAGGTACTAGCGTGCATAAGCTGCACAAGCCAAGCCTCTCATTACAGAAGCTGGCTCTCAACAGCTCTGGCACAGACTGGCGATGAGCCTTGAGCCCGATCCCTCTTCCTGCCTCATCCTCCTCCTCCTCGTCCTCCTCCTCGCTCGCCATCACTCCTCGCTCAACCTCTTCCTCCGCCTTCTCGCTTCTCCTCGCTACTCATCTTCCTCCTCCTTGCTCCCTTCCATTCCCATTACTCCTCCTCCTCCTCCTCCTCCTCCTCCTCCTCCTCCTCCTCCTCGACCCTTCCCCAGTTCTCCGAGCTCGTTTCTCCTGCCTCCAAATCCTCCATCCTGTAAGAACGGCCCCTCCCCCCCTGATCATGGAAGACGTGGGTCCTGAGCAAGGGGCGTCGTGGACCCTGGGGACTTCCTCTGGGGCAAGTCTATCGTCCTGACTTGTTTTCTGACGGTCCCAAGGACCGTGGAGGGCCCCATGAGGCCGAACACAGCGAAACGCCGCAGAACCAACTTCCCTCAGGACCTGCTCACGTCATAGCGGCCGCACGAGCCAATGGTCGGGGTGCAGAGTACACCCCCACGACCTCGTCCTGCTCCTCCTCTCCCGCTTCATCCTCCTCCTCCTCCTCTTCCGCCTCCTCCTCTCCTTCTGTGGGACGCATGTCCTGCTCCTCATACTCCTTCTGCACCTCCGCCGCAGAGGCACGCGGATGGCATGGCGCGCGAGCTCACGACGCGAGGCAGGATAAGGCGAGAACCGACAGGCATACCCATGAGAAAGTGGACAGGCAGACAGGCCGAGGAGGCGCGGCACGACGCGGTGGATGGGGAAGGATATAAAGGAAGAGAGAAAGAGAGAGAGAGAGAGTGAGAGAGAGAGCCAAAAAAAGGGGGGGGAGAGAGAGAGAGAGAGAGAGAGAGAGAGAGTGAAAGAGAGAGAGAGAGAGGGAGAGAGAGAAACAATAAAAACAGGCAGGCAGGCAGGCAGGCAGGCAGACAGACGGACAGACAGACAGGCAGACAGACAGGCAAGCAGGCAGACAGGCAGGCAGACAGCAGGCGGGCAGGTAGGCAGGCAGGCAGGCAGGCGGGCGGGCCGAGAGCGGCGAGAGGGCGGGGAGCTGTCGACGCGGTGGGGAGCGGAGGAGCGGAGAACTTTCCGAAGTCCTCGCCCCAGAAGTGCGAGATGAAGTGGGATATCCTCGGGGCGGCTCCCAGGGGAAGAATGCACGGCGCAGTCCCACAATCTCTGGGTCGGGCGTGAGGCGGATTTTGCACGGAAAATCAAAAAGACCCCAACACATGGTCAGACATAGCCAGACAATAATCTAGGGCTCCCAACTTCGCGCTTCGCGCTGCGCGAAGCGCGAAGCGCGAAAAACTTCGCGCTCTCGCGCCGCCCTCCCAAAGGGAGAATAGGAGGACGAGGAGGAGGGGGAGAAGGAACGAGGACCGCGAAGCGCGAACCGCGAATAACTTCGCGCCCTCGTGGGAGCCCTTGAAAAATCGCCCCCAAACTATTATTTTACGACTTTTTAGAATTCCTCCTGTAGGGGGACAGGCCCGACTTTCGGGGCACGGGCAGAACGCACGGCGCCAACGCGCCATCCCCAAGGGCGCGCGGACTCTTTCCTGGATCGGCGCTGTGCCCCCCCTTGCCATCGCTCGGACGTCCATCTCCCGTGCACTCTTCGGTGTCGTGCGTGTTTTTTTTGCTCGAGGGTCCAGGATGGTCCTCGATGGCTCTCGCCGAGAAAAAATGCACACGTCCGAGCGACGCCAGGCCCCCTGCCCAGGCGTGCGGAGAGGCGCCGGGCAGCGGCGCCAGAGGCGCCGAGCCAGGGGGGGCTGCAGCGCAGATCCCAAGACATCCACGAGGGCCCCCGCAGGCTCGTGTCGTTCTGCTGCCCAAGGGGTCCAAGGACACACACGCACACACACACACACACGACACGACACGACACGACACGACACGACACGACACGACACGACACGACACGACACGACACGACACGACACGACACGACACGACGCGCACGCACGCACGCACGCACGCACGCACGCACGCACGCACGCACGCACACACACACACACGACCACACACACACACGTATAAATACACACAAAACCAAGGATTCCCCACATTTCCATATAGTTTCTGGGCTTTTGTGTTCCCCCCCACGCTTCCCATGTGTTCCCATCTGTTCCTGGGAGTCGAGGATTACTTGTGTCTGTGTGTTTGCCCCTCCTGATCTATGAGGGTCCAAGGGGGGGAGAGGAGGACTCGCGCCGGGCACCCTCGGGACGAGAATGCTGTCATGGCAGGATCGGCTCAGGACGTGCTCCAGGAGTTCCAGAATGTCTGGCGGCCCTCGTGCATGCAACCCGTGTGTAACATTCTAGGGAATCTAGGATGAGCTCCTGCAAATCTTGAAACGCAGCACTACGGCCAGACCTGGGACAGGCAAAACGTATCCTTCAAGAGCGTGAGGCCCGCCGCCGGCCACGCCGAAACAAGCACTCGAGGGTGCCGCCCCCAGGATGCCCGAGCACATCCAGCAACCACGAAGAGCACTGGGGCACCCTCCCCGCGCCGACCTCGACCTCATACCTCGGCCCGACCGTGCCATGACCTCTGCACCTCTTCACCCGCGCCGGGTGCCGGGGAGGGAGGGCTGCCGAGCGCGAGGGCGGCGGGCGGTGCGGGGTCCGCCGCCGCCGCGCGGGGCGGCCAGCAAGCGAGCAGAGAGCGGGCAGGGAGGCACGCGCCCCGTGCCCGAGCATCGTTGGGCCCCACCGCTGTGGCCTCGGCCCCAGGGGCTGGCTCTCCCCCCTCTCTGCCGGTGGAGGTGCGCGCCGTCGCCCTCGGGGCCCGCAGGGCCCCATTGCCTTTCCGCCCGCGGGGGGTGCGGGCTGGCTTGGCCGAGAAGCCGTGGCCTGGCGCGCCCGCGGCGGGTGGGGAACGAAGGGCTACGATGGCCAACATCAGATCTTCTCCCAAGCGACAGCGGCCGCTGCTGGGCAGGCAAGGAGATTTCAAATGGGCTTCGAGAGCGGCGAGGCAGACGACGAGCCCCGTTCTCAAGGTATGCAACAACTGCTGTTGGTCTTCGTTCTACATTCTTGTCGCTCCCCATTTCGACAGTGCCGAGTGGCCGGGCGGGTAGAGAAACACAGCGAATCGGTGCTGGACCCCTTTCCTCCCCCTGGCGTGCGGAGCGCGCCATGGGCGGCGCCGGAGGCGCCGCCAGGGGGGTCCAGCGCGGATCCGAGAAATCCGCGCGGACCTCAGAGCTTTGATGTATAATTATGTCATTGTCCGTTCCCCTAGCAGAGGACTGCTCAGACCAGGACTCTCTGGGCCCAGGGTGCGGCTTCGCGTGGAAGGACTGAGGCAATCCAGGCTGCTGTGGCTGGGGCTCCGTCGGACGTGCTGTCCAGGCGTGTGCCCTCACGCGTGTTGCGCAGGCGCTCAACGGCATGGGGCCCCCGGCGCGCGCGCGCAATCGCCAGGCGCACGGCGCACCCCCCGCGCAGCGCCCTCTCCCGCGGACGCGCCCCCCCCCCCCCTCGCGGCGGCAGCGCAGCTGGAGCACCAGAGCGCCGCGCGGGAGGCGCTGCGCGACCAGCGCCTCCAGCGCGGCGCCATCGCTAGAGGCCTCCTAGATGGTGGGGTCCGAGTAGGTGGGGTCGAAGGATCGCGCCGCATCGCCAATGCATCGCCGACGGTGTCGGCAGATGCGGCTCCACATCGAGCCGCATCTGAGATGCATCGGCGATGCGGCGCGATCCTCCGACCCCGTCTACTCGGACCCCATCTGGGAGGCCTAGAATCGCCATCCTCTCTGGCTGGGCATCGTGTGACCGATCCCTCCCTCGGCGGCGAGAGAGGGGAAGTTTTATGTGCCTTCGGAGAAGGCTCAGAAAACTTCTGAAGGCCAGGAGACTTCCGACCCTTCTGAGAAGGCCTTCTCCTTCTCACTTCCCCAACCGGGCTCGCCGCCGATAACTGAACATCTTTTGGGCGATCCCTCATCCCCACTGGCGTGGCGTAGGCCGCACTTGCCGATCTACCCCACCAGGTGGGGATACGGGCTGCTCCCTTTGGATTCCGAGGGGCACATCCCCCAAACTGGGGCGGTGGGACGGGTGGGCGAGGATACAGTGTGCTGGTGGGGATGCGGATGTAGACAAGCGCGTTCCACTGGCACCGACGGCGGGGATAGCACGCAGCTAAGGGGGACGGATAGAAAGAGAGGGAGAGTCCAAAAACCACAAGGTGGCCTAACGAGGAGGACCTTCCTGAGACCCCGGTGCGGCTCGTCGAGGCTGCACACCGTGGGCCAGCGACGCGGCCCCCTTCGGAGCACATATCTCCCTCGTCCAGCATGTCTTGGCGGTGCGCACAAGGGGGTGGAGGGAGAGGGGAGGGCTTCTTAGAAGGAGGCTGCTTCTCAGAAGGCGCCGGCCTTACATCTGTAGAGAAGGCCCGCGCCTTCTAAGACGCAGGGGTGCTTCGAAGAAGCCCTCCCCCCTCCCCCCACCCCCCTCTGCGCGTGGCTGATTATCCTCGGAGCCCCGAGCTCTGCACGGCCTGCCCAGCTCTCGAGCTTCGATCGCCGGCGG